AACCAAATGAACTACAATGGAGACTAAATGTGGGGTTAAGGCGTTTGGAGCTCAGGGTTCAGGCTTCGGAGTTCAGGGTTTTGGGGATTTTGGAGGTTTAGGGTTTGGTGATTTTGGAGTTTTAGCATTTTCGTGATTTTGGAGTTTTAGGGCTTTGGGGTCCTTAGGGCGAGTATGTATAGCCATTCAAGGGACCTCGGATTTGACAGGCAAACCTCCTAAATAAGTGCTTCCAAGCGGCGAGATGATCGTTCCTGATGGACACGCATCATGGCCCAAAAAAAACCCAAAATCCAAAAACCAACCCAAACCCACCCATCCACCAAAACCCAAATCATCCCCAGAATCCTAAAGGCCCTAAACCCGAAAAGCTCCGACTCCTAAACTCTCAACCTTGAACCCCGAAAATCCTGAATCAACCTAAACCCTAAATGCGAACCGTCCCACAGTTCCCTGCTACCAAAAGCTGACCTCGGACTGGACAGGCCAATCGGGAAGGCCTCAATGAGAGTTTGGCCCTGTTGGTCCTTTAGGCTTCCCGGGCTTTCGTCATGGCATTTCAAGGAATTTCTAAGGGGTGGCTTTTATCTGTTTGGTTTAGGGTCTGGGGATTTGGGCGTCTGCTTGCCACTGAGCATCTGCACAGGGTGCTTGCTGAGGTTGCGCCATGCATTGATGAGAAGAAACCGGCCTGCGAGCAAATCAACCGCTTTCCCAAGCCGCCGTAGTAGTAGATGATGTCAATTCCTGTGTCACTTACCCTTTGCGTGGAGATAGCGAAGCAGACAAGCACATAGACAGGGACCTCATTCCATGTAGAGAGACACCATGAAGCATGTGTGTCTCTGTGTTCATACCGTATTGTGAACATGCATGTGCATATACGTATATGGCGCGTATATATACATACATATACATATATACATATAACCATATGCACATGTATGTCTGCCTGTGTATATGTACATGATTATAAATGAATACATATACGAACAAGTTGAGATATACATACATATATATATA